TTCTGATTTATTCCAAGAATGACGGAGAGCATGCGGAACATCTCAGAATTGTGTTAGAGTTGTTGAAAGATAGGAAGTTGTATGCAAAGTTGTCCAAATGTGAGTTCTGGCTGAATGAAGTTAGTTTTCTTGGACATGTGATTTCTAAGAATGGGATTGCAGTGGATCCTACAAAGGTAGAAGCAGTATCTCAGTGGGAAGCGCCGAAGACTGTTTCTGAAATCAGAAGTTTTCTTGGTCTTGCAGGTTATTACAGAAAATTTATCGAAGGATTCTCAAAGTTAGCATTGCCGTTGACGAAATTGACTCGTAAAGGACAAGCGTTTATTTGGGATTCTGATTGTGAGAAAGGTTTCCAAGAACTGAAGCGGAGATTGACTACTGCTCCTATTCTGATTTTGCCGAATCCGGTGGAATCTTTTGTGGTCTATTGTGATGCATCTCTGTTGGGTTTAGGTGGTGTTTTAATGCAGAATCAACAGGTAGTTGCGTATGCTTCGAGACAGTTGAAGGTTCATGAAAGGAACTATCCTACTCATGACTTAGAGTTGGCAGCAGTTGTGTTTGTCTTGAAATTGTGGAGACATTATCTGTATGGTTCGAGATTTGAAGTGTATAGTGATCATAAGAGTTTGAAGTATATTTTCGATCAGAAAGAGCTCAATATGAGGCAAAGAAGGTGGTTGGAATTTCTCAAAGATTATGATTTTGGTTTGAATTACCATCCTGGTAAGGCAAATGTGGTTGCAGATGCTTTGAGCAGGAAATCCTTGCATATGTCTATGATGATGGTTCGTGAATTGGATTTAATTGAACAATTCCGAGATTTGAGTTTAATTTGTGAAAGTACTCCGAAGTGTGTTCGTTTGGGTATGTTGAGACTTACTAGTGGTATTCTAGAAGAGATCAGGATCGGGCAGAAATCTGATGTTAATTTAGTTGATAAATTGACATTGATCAACCAAGATCAAGGTGGTGAATTTAGAATTGATGAAAATGATGTTATGAGATTTGGCGATAGAGTTTGTGTTCCTGATGTCGCAGAAATCAAGAAGAGTATATTAGAGGAAGGACATCGCAGTGGGATGAGTATTCATCCGGGTGCCACGAAAATGTATCATGATTTGAAGAAATTGTTTTGGTGGCCGGGAATGAAAAAGGAAATAGCTGAATTTGTGTATGCATGTTTAATCTGTCAGAAATCGAAGATTGAGCATCAGAAGCCGTCTGGATTTATGCAACCAATGTTTATTCCAGAATGGAAGTGGGATAGTATTTCTATGGATTTTGTATCTGGGTTGCCGAGGACTCCTATGAATTGTGAAGCGATATGGGTCGTTGTGGATAGGTTGACTAAGTCTGCTCATTTTATACCAGTGCAAATGGATTACTCAATGGAGAGATTGGCACAGTTATATATTGAGAAAATAGTGAGTTTGCATGGAGTTCCTTCTAGTATTGTGTCAGATAGAGATCCGAGATTCACTTCGAAATTTTGGGAAGGATTGCAGAAGGCTATGGGTACTAAATTGAGGTTGAGTTCAGCTTACCATCCTCAGACTGATGGACAGACGGAGAGGACGATTCAATCGTTAGAAGATTTGTTGCGTGCTTGTGTTTTAGAGAAGGGTGGAGCTTGGGATAGCTATTTGCCATTGATTGAATTTACTTATAACAATAGTTACCATTCGAGTATTGGTATGGCTCCGTTCGAGGCATTGTATGGTAGACGGTGTAGAACACCTCTGTGTTGGTATGAATCTGGAGAGAGTTCGGTGATTGGGCCAGAGATTGTTCAGCAGACTGCTGAAAAGATCAAATTGATTCAAGAGAAGATGAGAGCTTCTCAGAGTCGTCAGAAAATTTATCATGATAAGAGGAGAAAGAATTTAGAATTCAGTGATGGAGATCATGTGTTTATGAGAGTTACTCCGATGACGGGTATTGGTCGAGCGTTGAAATCTAAGAAGTTGACTCCGCGTTTTATTGGTCCGTTTCAGATTACGGAAAGAGTTGGATAAGTTGCTTATCGTATTGCTTTACCTCCGAGACTTGCGAATTTGCACGATGTTTTTCATGTTTCTCAGCTGAGGAGATACATTCCAGACCCATCTCATGTAATCCAAATAGATGATGTACAGGTGAGAGATAACCTGACAGTAGAAACATTGCCTATGAGGATAGAAGATCGGGAAGTGAAATAGTTAAGAGGTAAAGAGATAGCATTAGTGAAGGTTGCTTGGGGAGGTCCAGCAGATGGAAATATCACTTGGGAGCTGGAGAGCCAGATGAAAGAGGCTTATCCGGAACTGTTCGTCTAAGGTATGTTTTCGAGGACGAAAACTCTTTTAGTGGGGAAGAGTTGTAACACTCCAGTTTCAATTATTTGATTTATTTAAATTTGGGAAATTATTTTATTAGAATTAATAAAATAAAAAGGGATTATTTATTTTGAAATATGGAGGAAAATAAAAGAAATAAGAAAATGCTGAGTTTTTAAGTTATTGGGCTTGGATGTTGTTAGTAAAGAGTGGGGGTGCAAAAGAAGTAAAGATATGTTTTGGAACTCAAGTTATTTTTCTCATTATTCACGATAACACAGAAGTTGGGATTTTGGGAAGCAGAGCTCTAAAGGTACGAAGAAGGAAGACCATCGCTCAAAAAGTTCAAAGCTGCTAATTGATAAGGTAAGGGGGGCTACTACTCGATTTACCTTTGTTTATGGGTTTATGTACGGGTGATTTGGATAATCGTAGGGAAAAACCCCAATTGTTAGATGTTACTAGGAATCGATACCCTTAGGATTGAACCTGAAAAGGGTTAGGTTCCCAATTTTTATGAATCGATTAGGAATTTTAGGTTCCAAATGGTGGATTGGGAGTATATCTGCATGATCATGAATTTACCTTAGAGGTTTAGGGATAACCTTAATGTTGTCAGAAATTCCCTAAAAAGGACGAGTAATCACTGTTAAGGTTACTATAATGATTGTTGGTAATTAGGAAATTGAGGTGTTGTTTTGAATTATACAAAATCGATGTCGTTAGGTACCAAAATGCGCGTTTTGGCTGGCATTTTCCCGCGTTTGGCTGCTGTTCTGAGCTGCTACAGGTACAGGAAAATTCTGTACGCGCTCAGCAACACGGGCCGTGTTGCACAACACGGGCACCCGTGTTGCTCTTCTGTGTTGGTAAAGTAATGTGTTTTCTGGACACATTACAACACGGGCCGTGTTGCACAACACGGGTACCCGTGTTGGTCCCCTGTAATGAGAAAAAATGTGTTTTCTGGATATGTTACAACACGGGCCGTGTTGCACAACACGGGCACCCGTGTTGAGGCTACTGTGTTGATTTTCTGAACTTTGTTTTCAGTGCTTGATTTTGGATTTTATTGCCATGCTTTTGGATAATGTTATCGAGCATGATTTATGATATGACTTGATATGATTGATGTTTAAATAGTATGCTGAGTGATTACATGCTATCCGTATCTTGTTATGATTGATGTTGTTGATGTCGCATGATATGTTGATTGATGTTCATAGTATGCTGAGTGTTACATACTTTACATATCATGTTGCATTTGTTAATTCCCATTGTGTGGAATTAACATGGTGGCCAATATACGTGTCTGCGATTTAATGGAACGTTGAGGTGGTAGCCGTGTCCGCGATATAATGGAACGGTGAGTTATCCGTGACCCGAGATTTAATGGGGCGGTAAAGTGGTACCACATGCATGGGTGTGTTGCATTACCTTGAATATAACATGAATGGATGATTTTTTCCAATGTTGTATTTGATTGTTTGTAGGCACGTATGGTTGCTAAATTGTTGACGATGTTTGATGTTAATTGCAAATATGAAAAATAATATATTATGGGTATATGAATTGTAAAGATTTTTGTAAACTATGAAATATGCTAATTGTTGGGTGATGCTTATGGTTTCCTGAATTGATTGTTATGAACGTATAATCAAATGTATAATTGAGATGCTCACCCTTACTGTTGAATATTTCAGATTGAGGAGCTTCGTTCAGGTGCTTGGCGAAGGCTCGTCGTTTCTAGTTTATTTTCGTTTTAGTATTGTCCGGGTCATGCTCTGATAGTTGTAACTCCGGGAACGTTTGTTTGTCGAGCTGTTTTAATCAGACTCGTTTAATTCCTTATGTTTTGTTATAATATGATGTTGACATTTTCCAGGTGATAATCCCTGATGATTTTGAAAATATTATAACATTGATTTTATTAATTAAATTATTCCGCTGTGTAAACATGTATGAGTTACTACTACGTTATGCATGACAGGAATTTGTTTTATTAAAAGAGAATTGTAGCATCCTCGATTATACATGTACTCTGAAATTATGATTTTAATATTTGCGAAAATTTGTTCGGGGTTTTAGAGGGTGTTACAGTAGTCCTCAGAGTAACTGTTGTTATACACCGAAGTGGGTTAACCATTTTGCGTGTTATTTACTTACTACACTGTTAATTGTGTTTATCTGTTCATTGTGTTGAAGTCAGATGACAGTGTCTCGACATCTCTTAGGACATTTGTGATCTGAATACCAGAATTTCCATACGTTTCAACATTCTCCCCCATTTTGAATAGTGATAAATATTTATTTTAATTTATTGCTGAACACTGTGGTCAAAAACTCCCCCTGAAATTATGCATGCTTTGAAGGATAAATATTCCCCCTCAATGTTAGTAAGCAGATACATTGTGTTAATAGTTTAAAGCATTTGTATAAGATAATACATTGATAAATAATTTCACAATTTGATAATTTATGAAATACATTAATTGTTTCAGGATCAATACATTAATAGATTGTCATTAATATGTTGGTGCACTAACAAAAATATCAAGTTTTAAACAAACAACTGCTTAAGTAAGAAAAGAAAATAATATAAGTTGGACAAGATGTTCTCCCTCTTTTGTCAACAAACTAAAAGAAGGGGCCAAAAGACAAGCTGAAAAGCGTGAGACATCATTGAGTGGCTGGAGCTTCATCATCTGATGAGGCTTCCGAGGATAGAGTAAGCAAGGGAAACTGCACAGTTGAGATATCAGGTGTAGGAAGACCTGGGAAGCGAGGTCCCACTTGTTTAGTAATGTATTTTGCCCAGAAGTTGTCGGATGCTATTTTTGATTTCTGTAGAGAAGTAATGGAGCGAAGATAGATGTCATCATGAGGATTTGTAGGATCAGAAGGAGTCGAAGTATTAGGATGGATAGGAGGATGAGCACTCATGCTCAAGAGGTTTCTTATAAAAGGATTTTCAAGAGTTTTATCCTTAAGTGGTGGAGTTGTAGAGATGTTTGAACGATGTATTTCAAATGAAACAGGGAGAGATACCGATACTGGGATTCGACCAGGAGACGAAATTGGAGCAGATGAAGATTGACCAATTTTCAGAGTTCTGGATGGGACATACGCTTTACTTAGGCATTTGCATTTCTGTTAGTTTGAGTAGGTTAGTCCAACCTACTTCAGCAGCAAGGTGTTTGATATTGTATCCTCTCATTGTGTAGCTATCTAAATCTATTGTTTTGCCTGATACAATCGGATTTGGATCAAGATTCGGTTGTTCGGGGTTTTGTAGGAGGATGTTCCATTTTTCTGAAGAGAGGAGGTTTTGAGTTTTGAGAAGATGGTAAAGTTTGATCTGAAAAAGGAACGATGTTTGTTTTAATTTTGGAGTGCGTGAATGGTTTGATCAGATATAGATAACCGAAGGATGAGAAGAGGAGCAAGGAGAAAAGGTGGTTGTTATAGATGAGCATGGGGAAGTGGAACGAGTAAGAAGAAGAGAGTGTAGCCTTTTCTTGAGAAGAGTGACGAAATGATGGGGTAGGTGAGATAGGGTTTGGAGTATGGTGACGTGATTGATGGCCAGGGTGCGTTTAATGAGGACGGCCAAACTAAGAAAATTAATGATGATATTTAGAAGGAAACGTGACATGAGGAAATCTGACTAGAATTTTTCAAGATAACTAGAAAAGAAAGGTTTTAGCTTTGTTTATGACCATGATGCAATTGTTTTTTTCCCCTCATAATTTAATTTTTTTCTCAAAACACTTTCATGTCCTCATGAGATTGAGAATCTAAAAAGGCATTTTAATAATGGATAATTTGGATTTTATGAAGTTAAATCTTTCTTCTACCAAAAGTTTGATAAAAATATCAACTAATTGATTATTAGTATCTCCAAGTTATATGTTTTCCCTTTTGAACATGATCTCTTATAAAATAAAGTTTTATTTCAATATGTTTAGATCTTGAGTGTTGAATTTTAGATAGATTAATAACACTAGTATTATCACAAAATATTGATACCTTTGAGTATTGAAGTGAGTAGTCTTCCAATTGATTTTTTATCCATAATATTTGTGAGCAGCAATTGGCAGCAGAGACGTATTCAGCTTCAGTAGTTGATAGTGTTATGGTGTTTTGTTTTCTACATGACCGCGTAATGAGAGATTTCCCCAAGAATTGACATGCTTCACCTATAATTTTTCTTTCAATCTTGTCTCCAACATAATCAGTGTTACAATATGCTATTGGTTGATGTGATTTCTTTTCTCATACAAGAGACCATTGTCAGTGGTGCCAACAAGATATCAAAATATGTGTTTGACTGCATTTAAATGTGATTCTTTAGGACCAGTCTAAAACTTGCGCACAAATCTACTGAAAAGACAATGTCAGTTCTACTGGCAGTTAAAAGCAATAATGAACCAATCATACCTCGATAATCCTTTTCTGATATAGATGATCCTTGTTCATCTTTGTCAAGGTTTGAATAAGGATGTATGGGAGTGACTATAATTTTTGCCTCATTCATTCCAAAAAAAATTTAACAAATCTTTAATTTTTTTTTTACATATGAAATCCAATTTTTAAGTTGTTTGATTTGTAACCCAAGAAAGAAGCTTAGTTCTCCCATCATACTCATCTCAAACTCACTTTGATAATTTTTAAAAATTCATCACACGTTTTTCCATTTGTGGATCCAAAGGTAATGTCATTAACATAAACTTGAACTATGAGTAGATCATTCTTATGTAATTTTTTAAAGAGCGTGGTATCAATCTTACCTCTTAGGAAGTCATTTTTAATTAAAAATAAACTAAGTATTTCATACCAAGCTCTAGGAGCTTGTTTGAGATTATACAAGGCTTTGGTTAGTTTAAAAACATGGTTAGGATAAGAGGTTTTTTCAAAACCAGGAGGTTGATGAACATAAACTTCCTCATTTAAAAAACCATTAAAAAAACACTTTTGACATCCATTTGAAAAAATTTTATACCTTTATTAGCAGCATAGGCAAGGAGTATTCAAATACCTTCTAACCTGGAAACTGGTGCATATGTTTCATCATATCTATACCTTCTTGTTGGTTATATCCATGTGCAACTAGCCTAGCTTTGTTTCAGATTGAAATTCTGGTATCAGATATGAGATGTCGAAGGAGATGTCACGACACAAATATCTGAGAAAAATGTAAAATGTAACAAAAGTAAGAACAGTAAAAACACAAGGGATTTGTAGCCGTAGAAATGTTTAAGACTAAGTCATTGGATTGACTAGAGTTACACAGGTCAAAATAAAAATCACCACCATGCTTTATGGTTTCTAAAGGAATGGAAAAAGAGCGAATAACCCAAAAAGAGGGGGAAAGATTATAGGTAAGGGGCTTGGTTATGCAAAGGGAAGGTATTAGCACCTTAAACATCTACAGTACTTCGCAGGAACTTCTTTGAAAAATCTGTATATTTTAGCTATAAAATATTGTATTTAAAATAGATGGTGGAGGTGAGAAAAGAAACATATTTTTTATGATTTTTTCACCCGCCGCGGTTTCGAACCTTTAGTGCCTACGTACCACCTTTCATGCAATAGGGGATCAAGGTACACGTAGTTCATCTTTTTAAAATTTTAAAACACAAGTGTGTTGGTTAATTTTATGAGATAAGACATCATCGTCATTGTTCGTGTGGAAAACATACTTATTACCCACAATTATGAAAAAGGAGAATTTGCATCATCTCAAAGAGGAGGATATGGCTTGGATTTTAAAATCAACAATGTCTCACTCAACACCCAAGTGGAAAATATCTCACCTCACTATAGATTATAGAAGTATAGTTGTTTGCATCACTACAAGGATTGCTAAGAGTCCAATCTTTTGAGAAAAGTTTTAAAGTAAAAAGCCAAAGTGGCAAAATGGTTTGAAATAAGATTGATTGACTTTTAGTCTTCTCACAAAAAATGTCAAGGTATTATTAAGTTGATTGAAGTTTATTTATGAAAAGGTTTTGAAAATTCATGGGCCTAGGTCCAAGTTTATTATGAAAGTAGTTCAAGTTTAAAAACAAGAAGAGTTTCCAAAAGGAGGGAGAAGATTTTTGAAATTAAAGAAGATGGAAGGAGAATAAGAGATTATCCTAAAGCATAAGGTAAAAGATAGGGATAAGAACCATCTAACTAACAAGAAGCCAATACTTGACATTATGAGTCAAGATAGAATTCTCATTCTTTGGATTAAAATCAAGAAAGCAAAGATAATAGACCTCTTAAAAGAACCAAACTTCAAGTGTATTAAGTCTTCACAAAAATTGGACAGAGTAGTGGTTGTATACGGGTGAATTCCAGATTACAAACAAAGTATGTAACCACAATAACCTGCACACAAAACAAACAAACTACCCAATGTCTTGAGGTAAACCTCAAGAACTCCATACAAAATATCAATTAAGGTCACAAGGTCTCAAACATAGGCCAAGGTTTCTAATCCTAAGTCCAAGAAGTCCAATACTCCATAATGCCAAGGATAGTAACCAAATAGTCCAAGTATCATTAAAGATTTTATGGTTCATGTTGATTATTAAGTATCTTCAAAAAGAAAAGAAAAGCTCAAGTGAGCAAAATAAAAATGATAAGAAAATAAAGGGGCTCAAGTGAGCAAAGATGAAAAATAGCATGAAATGTAAATGCTAAAGTAAATGGTGCATACAATAAAGAGCATAAAATAAAAGCACAAAAAAAGTCAATTATCAATAATTAGTGGTTAGTTGGATGACCATCTTGAAATTTGTATTTAGAACTCATTGGAAGATTGGTAGAACCAAAGCCTCCACACAACAAGTTGCATTTGCTTTTTGTCAAGTATATCATCCATTTTTGAATCCTCAAAAGTACCATTTAATGATCAACGATGTTTAAGTGATCCGCGTTGACCAAAAGTGATGTAGATCCATTAGAGGATTGGTAGAACCAAAGTCTCCACACAATGAATCTCAAGGTTATTGGATAAAAGAGATCAATTAACATACTTGGGCTTGCAAACATAGGTTTGTGCCACGAATGATCATTTATTCGACTCGGGACAAAATTTAGCGATATGTTAAGCAATCGTAAGTGGACTTATATAGAAGTCGCACCTATTTTGAGGCCGGTCAATAGCAATTTATGCACCATTTATTTTGAGACATGATATTGAGATCATACTCCAATAACACTTAGTGCAATAAGAGAGGGATGAGATGAAGAAGGGTGGGAAAGAATACAAACCACATTTGAATTAAAATTTAATCAAACTGTTATTAAAATCATTCATCCATTTTTATGGAGTTAGACTCAACACCATGAATTCATTGATGTTAATAAAGTTCATGATCAAAAATTTAACCCAATATCAGGCAGAAAATAATCACAAAATAATATTACATTTAATATATATATTGAAAAGGGTTTTAAAATATTTTTAAAATAGAAATAAGAGATAATAATATCAATTATGTTCAAATTAATTAAGAAATATTAAGTAAGACCATAGAAAAATCTGAAATGAACTCAAATATTTTTATAAAATTTTTGGTAATTTTTTAAAGTCAGAAACTATTTTTAAAATTAAAAGAAATGAGTTAAATAAACCAAAAATGATTTAAAAAAATAACAGTCAGAAATAAAAGATAAACAAGGTCACCAATATTTGTCACAATATCATTGGATCATTCCATATTTTTTTAGAATTTAAAAATGCATAAAAGTATTTTTAAACATTTAAAACAATTCAAATAAAGTGAAAATTTATAAAAAATACCAAAACACAAAATAAAATTGTAAAAAATAAAAATAAGAAAGAGAAATATAAAAAATATTTTTCATAATTATTTCAGATTTTTTGGACTTAAAATGAATTTTCTATGATTTTTTTAAATTTAAAACAATTAAATATAAAAATCAGAAAATAAAATAAAAACCAAAAAGATATGGGCCAATGGATGAGAGTCAAAACGCGTTAGTAATAAAATCCAAGAGATCTGACGCGTTGTGCATATCATGGTCATTACTGAATAAAGCACTGAATCACATATAAAATCATATTTTTAAAAAATACAAATGACACGTCATCATTGGTTGGAAGATGACATGTTGGTCATCTTCAACCTCCAGCCAATGTGAAGTGCAGGTCTCTCAAACTGTAAAATCAGAAGCTCAAAACTGTAGCTCAAGCAATTTGGAAGGAAAGTTTTGAAAGGGAATTTGAAAATTCATGGCCAAAACGTGTTTCCAGCTAAAATTAAGTGTTGCGACTAGAACCAGGGCAATGAGAGCTTCACAATGATATCAAAGTTTGGAAGAATTGATGGAGAAATCAACCTATTGAAGTTAAGTTGCAGAGCTCTGAAACTGGACTTCTATGGATCAATATAGGTCATGATTCTTGAAGTTAATTGTATGGTTAGCTTCAGGGAAGATCAAGGAAGGTGAATTGATAAAAAATGGATTGAAAAAGGCTTGAACACTGATTTCGAAGTTGCAGAAAAGTGAGTTATGGAACAAGTTTGGCAGGGTGATTTTGGTTGTTCAAGCTTGAGGAAGTGAATGGGGGATGACCCTCTATTTATAGAAGAATGAATGGGATCCTTAAGCGTGTGAAATGATGAAGTTTGGAGGGAAATCGTGTGGGTCTGCAGCATGAACAAAGTGTGACTTGTTTATCATCAAAACTCAGTCAAATCGT